GGAGTGGTTCATCTTTCACTTCTCCTAGCTTTGCCATCAAAAACCCAAGTCCTGTCAATTCTAGATCATTAAAAAGAGTCATCCACCATTTATCCACGTACCAAGCCCAATAATACTGGACGTGAGGAAGTGTATTGGGAAAAATCCAAGTCTTACATTAACTAGAGATTAGGCAATTGAATAGTATATAAGTGAAAAGCAACCCTCACCTTATAAGCCAGTTTTGTAAGGTTGAGTTAGGTTTAATCCGATTAATTATTTGAAGTAAAAAGATCTCGGCAAAGAATAATTTTTATGAAGAATATTTGGCACCGCTTCTCCTTTTAAGCAGAAGAAAAGTAAAAATTAAATTGGGCCAAAAATAAGTCCACAATTTAGTGCTTAAAGATTATTTAACCAAGAATTTCAATATGTCTCAAAACTAGTCACTCATAATTAAATCAAAAGTAGATTTGGGATACTATAATATTTACTCTCGATCGTAGTAAGAATTAAACATACGCATTTACGGTTGAAATTTGGGATACTATACTATTTACTCTCGATCGTAGTAAGAATTAAACATACGCATTTACGGTTGAAATTTGGGATACTATACTATTTACTCTCGATCGTAGTAAGAATTAAACATATTGAGACCGTTGATAGAATTAAACTGATTTACAATTATAACCAAAGTATTTCAACGGAAAATCTCAACAATCATTTCCTGTAATAATTATATCATCAACATAAACCATTAAATAAACACACTTTGACAGAATGACAATAAAAAATTGAATGATCTGTCTCACATCGTTTCATCCCCAAAATTTGTACAATATGACGGAATTTACCGAACCAAGCTTGGGGTGATTGTTTCAGTCCATACAAAGACCGGCACAATTTACAAACTAGACCACATTCTCCCTAAGCAACAAATCCAGGAGATTGCTCCATGTAAATCTCTTCCTCAAGGTCACCATGAAGGAAGGCATTTTTAATGTCAAGTTGGTGGAGTGGCCCAATGACAAATAGTCGCCATCGTAAGGAAGATTCGAACTGTGGTGATCTTAGCCACGGGAGAAAAAGTATCACAGTAATCAAGACCATAAATTTGAGTCCTTTGGCTACCAACCAAGCTTTAAAGCGATCAACTTCACCACTAGGCCCAACTTTAACAACATAGACCCATCTACAACCAATAGTCTACTTTCCAGGAGGAAGAAGGACAAGCTCCCACATGCCATTGTGTGCAAAAGTCTACATTTCATCAATCATTACTTGTCGCCATCTAGGATGATCAAGAGCCTCATTGATAGTTTTGGGAAAAATATAGATGACAAAGAAGAAACAAAAGAGAAGTACAAAGGAGACAAGTGGTGATTACTCAAAAAATTATAAATAAGATAAGGATTACGAGTAGATCGAATACCTTTCTTAATAGCAATGGGCCAATTTGAATTGGAGTCATGAGAAGATGTGGAGGATGAAGGACCCATGGTATGGGAAGTTGTTGGAGGAGGATTTGAATCACGAGAGTCTTCAGGAAGTGTGAAATTAGTTTGTTGTGTCCTACGCTGATACGTAACGAGAGATGGTGAAATAACTTAAATTGAATCATGAGTATGAGAATGAGGTTGATTTTCATCTTGGTTGAAGTTAGAAGGAGTAGGATTCACAGGAATAACCTATTGAATGGAAACATGATTGTCCATGGAGGATGAGAAAAAAAAAAGTGTTTCCTCAAAGAAGGTAACATCAGCTAGCAGACATATAATACCTCTTGGAAATTGGAGAATAAAATTTGTATCCATTTTGAAGATGAGAATATCCTAGAAAAACACATTTAGTAGCCTTTGTAGAAAGTGTGTCTAAACTTGGAGAGATTATGAACAAAGCAAGTACAACCAAACACTCAAGGAGAGACATGAAATTAAGAATCATTTGGAAAAATTATAAAATGAGGGATTTGATATTCAAGATAGGAAGAGGGCATTCTATTTATTAGAAAACAAGCAATAAGAATTGCATATTTCCAATGATGTACAAGAACATTCATATTCAACATTAGGTAGTGTACAGTTTCAATAAGATGTTTATTCTTCCTCTCTACTATGCGATTTTGTTGTAGTGTGTGAGGACATGTGGATTGATATAAAATATCATGTGAAGATAAAAGGGAAGAAAGTTCAACAGAGAAATTTTATTTAGCTTATCACTTCTGAATATTTTAATTATCTTCCCAAATTGGATAAAAGTACATATCTATCTTTCATTAAATAAACCCAAGTATATCGAGATAATTAATCAATGAAGGTTACAAAACATCTAAAACCAAAAGATGTGACACGACTTGGTCCCCATATGTCTGAATGAATGGTAGAGAAAATTGAGTTACATCAATTGTCGATTTGTTTAGGAAACAATGACCTAACATGTTTTCTTAATTAACACGATTCACATTTCAAAATTGGAAGTTGCTTGAGACTAGAAATCATTATCTTCAATTTTGCTAAACTTGGGTGATCCAAACGATCATGCAAAAGCTTTGATGCTGAAGTTGAAAAATAGGACACAAACGTGCTAGTTTCTAGGTAATAGAGACCTCGTGATCCATGTCCTTCACCAATCAGATGACCCATACCATGTTCCTGTATGACAAAGAAATTAGCATCAAATGTTATTGGATAATTTAATGAACGAGTCAATTGGCTTAAATAGATTAAGTTATAAGAATAATGAGGGATGACCAAAATAGAATTTAATTTTAAGGAAGGAGATAAAGAAACTTGACCAATTCCTTGAGATGCAACTTTTGACCCATTGACTATAGTAACAAGATGAGGAACTTTTGGAGTTTTTTGAAACACTAGGCAGTTGCAATAAAAGAAGATTGGACTTTGTTGTTGGAGTTTCCATATTTAAGCCTCAAATATTCTTGATACTCCTTATCAAAAAACTTGGTATATGATTTTTCAGATTTAGACAAATGGGTTGCCTTGTCAGGAAAATCATGCAACGAGTAGCAATTTTCTTGTATATGACCCATTCTTTTGCAATATGTACACTAAGAACATCCACTTCTACCACCATGTCCTCCTCGATTGTTATGTCCTCCTCATCCATAAGGTGCTACCATTATTAAGGTTTCAATAGTTTCAAATAGGTTTTCATCTTTCACCAAGGTAGGAACACAAAGAAGTATAGTGACTAGGTTTTCCATGGGAGGAATTTGATCACCAGCCACAATTTGGTCACTTTCATGATCAAAATTTGAATTTAAACTTCTCAAAATCAAAATCATATATAGCTTATGGAGTTTTTGTTAACGACCTCTAACGAGTCAACCACAAGAAATCTTTTCAATTCTTTTATTGCAGCCCGAGCTTTAGCTAAATGTGAGACCATATCATGGTTGGTCTGTTTAAAAGAAGCTACTATTTGAGTTACATTAAAAAGACATTGAATGTCATTAGTAAAAATATCTTGGGCCTCCTTCCAAAAAGAATGACATGTCTTAAATGATCTAAGTATCTCTAATACATTAGGCTTAACTAATTTCCATAAAACAACACAAAGCCAGAAGTCAAGTTTATGTCATTGAGATTTATTTTCAATAGGGATTGCACTGGCTTCCTTTTCTAAATGGTCATAGTATTCTTGACCAAGGAACCACAACTCCACCAAGGCAAACCAAGACAAATAGTTTTTCCAATTCAGTTTTGTAGTTGTAATGGTTGGAGTACAAAAAAAAAGTGGAAACATGCCTACAGAGGCCATTTCAATGACAAGAATGAAGGAAAAGAAGTTTGAACACCACGACCCACACCTCTAAATAGGTCAAAACTAATAGTTAAGGGTAGAAGCATGACTAGAAGGAGCCGATGAAACTATTGGAAGTGGTCAGACGAGATTTCAAATAAGTAGTGGGCGACGCGTGAGATGCATGTGTCAAACAAGGGCATCGAAGAAAAACGTGAGTCTCATGTATTGAATCACACTCTTCAAGGTATACCTAACCTTAAGTTCACTGAAAGAAAATGACAAGAATCAACGGTGGACGATGACAACGGACAATGGTCGATGACGATGATCCAACGGTGAATAATGGCAAGTCGGTGACTTAAGAAGACATAGTAAGACCTAACTTACTCTGATACCAACTTGAAATTTGATGTTTGGCAGAAAATTTGAGAATAATTGCTCTTAACCGGTGTGTGCGTATATATATATATACACACACACACACAATTGTCAATAAAAATAAGACTACAATCTAAAGACCTTAATCCTTAAAATACATAGTACCAAAAATAACTTATATAAAGTTGTACAACATATATAATAAATAATTATTTTAACAATCTTCTAATAAATTTCAAAATCTATCCATATATGTAAATGTACAAATTTTATAGTTGAAGCATGTCATAATTACTTCAATCTATGTTGTACTCTTTTAGTTTATATACCAATTTTCATTGTTTAACTTACTTCGTCCATATTCTTATATAAACAAAAATATCTAAATTTACATATATTAAAAAAATAATTAAATTTATTTAACTTTACGTGAAAATTAAATTTTAATTTCTAAACAACCTTTAATAATATTATTGAAAACAATAATCACATTTAATTTTAAAAAAAAATATTTTTGAAATGATGGCATTGCTTAATAAGTTAATTAGATTTAGTTAAAAATAATTAAATATTTTTTCTTATATATATAAAAATCCAATGAGATTACTACACGGAACTTTCTCAAGCCTAAAATCGGAAACCAAAATTTTCACCTCATTTAGACCACTAAAATTAGTCTGGTGGTTAGAAAGGAAGGAGTAAAGGTAAAAATAGAGAGAGCTAAGTTCACAGTGCAAGCCACCAAATCGTTGTATCTAAACTGCCACGCAGAATCACGTAATCTTTTCTGTAAAAAAAAAAAAAAAAAAAAAAAAAAAAAAAAAAAAACACTAGCTGCTGCTAGTAATAAATAGGTGAAGCAACATGCATTCACGTTAAAAGAAAGACGGTTTGAATTTACCTCTTGTTTAACATTTTCTTACTTCCATACGTCTTAAGTTACAAATTTCGCCAGAAATTGTACTGTAGGTGCATATCCTGATGTCTTGGATCTGCATGTGTTGCTAAAATTGTTACAGAGGCCACCAACAAAATGTATTTCAATTCCCACAAATAGTGTTGGGGAGTAATTTCATCTTCAGACAGTTTAACAAAAAAAAAATCATCTTCAGACACGTAGATCTGCCTCTTGAAATACGTTCTCTTTCTATACGGTGTACTTTCGGCTGGAAAAATATGAAATTGCTGTTACACTAAAACTGTTCAAACCCAAAGTCGTGTACCAAACCTAGCGCAAAGCAGATCATAGCTTCTTTCTTTTTTATGTACAACACGATTTTCCTCCCACCCACAAGTCAAAAAACAATATCAGTTGACAGTTATCTCCTCCACAATATTTATTTCCTCAGAGTACTGGACTTTGGGCTCTAAATCTATGAACTGGTTTGATTTACTTGCTAAGTGGGAAATGCTAACCCTCCCTTGCCGCTTAATATAATCAGCAACAGATTTCATCTCTTCTTGGGAAATGTAAATAAATTTCCCTCTATCATCCATAACACCCGAAAGCCGACCTGATGCACAAAATAAACTCATTATGTCCATCCATAATGCCAGCAAAAAGACAATACGTAAAACATGATAATCTCAAAAACCCAATAACACTTGAACGTATAAGAATTTTAATTTTGTCAAGTTGCAACTATTAAAAAAATAAGGAGCGGCATCATCCGGGCTGATTATAAGATGCATGATTTTTATTATTTTCCATACATTTAAATAACTTCTTTCTGGATGCAGAATATTTATTTATGCGATGTCAAAGTCAAAAAGCAACAATAACAAAATTAAAAGTAACATGGACAGGAAATCAAAATAAGAAATGTTAATGATGAAAAGTTATCAGATAACTCAAACACACACACTTTGACCCAACATACTAGAACTCAACAAAATGTATGCACATTGTGACATTTATTACAAAGTGGGGGGAAAAATTTAGTAATAATGCTTAGATAAGGGCATTTTTCCTTTAATATTTTACCACCCCCACCCCGCCTCAGAAAAAAAGAAAGAAAAAAAAACTGGGCCAATGTTTAGGAAGGTTTTAGGGGCCTTATATTCTTAGTTCTATGGGACAGCCTGTAACTTAAAGAATGGGGTATAAATTATGAAAATTATAAGGATTCCCAATTGAAATATTTCTTCCACTTACTGAATCCTTGACATCAAAAATGGTAAATTGGCTATATGAGCTCCACCAGAGGCAGGTGTTTATTATGTAAAAGACAAAAATATAAAAATAAAACAGGAAAAGGTAATAGATACTTTCTTATGATGAAAGACAATTTAAAAAGCAAGGTTCTTACCCAAGCTTTCCAGAGATGTGATGCGATTGATACATTCCTGCATCAGTACAGGGTGTCAAAAATAAAAGGAATCCCATGGAAGAAAAAGATATCACTCAGACAGTACAATCTATAACAATTTGATTCACCCTCAATATATTGTTAGAGTCTCTAAGTAAAAAAGAAGACTTTGCTACTTAGAAACATTAAAAGGGATATCTGCACTTGGGTTAACACCCTGAAAATTATAAAGATAGTAAATAAAAGCTGAAGTACCAAAAATGGAACTGTAATTCAACTCACAACACCTGTATATGTTAACAAAAATGAGAAGAGGAATTATTTTGGTATCTTTGTTTGGAGGGGAGTGGTGTGTATAAATGTAATGCAAAGTGCGTGATAAGGAATAGAATTAGTAAATAAGAGCATTTTGATTATTAGTTACTCATGGTGCATGCAAAGTAAAGGGTACAAATTATTTTGCAGTTGCAGTATTTCTATAGATAGCAAGGTTGTTGATAGGAAAGTTATGTGACATGCCTTTAGGCAGTAATTTAGGAAGATATGTATCTGAACTATCAGTATGTGTTTATGAATTAATTGGTACTTAATGTGTTTGAGAGAAAAACTATCTGCCAGGGCTTAGGCCTGTGAACTATGTACTGGGAGAGGTTGCTCTCTTTGTCCTGTGTTCTTCCTCTGCTCTCTGATCTCTGTTGTACCCTTTTTTTCTGGTTTAATCCAGAAAATGTATAAATAAAACTACTTACTTAGTGTGTGCAATTCTCAAGTCTTAACAGTTGTAAAAATTGAGATCCTAGCTAACATCAAGAGAGGGGTGAAAGAAACCCAATCCATGGCTTCAGGAAAAAAAAAACATAGAAAGAATGGGCTTTAGTTGTTGAGTGGAGCTGTAGAGTTGTAGTATCAAGGGCCAAGAGTAAGAGATGTCAAGCCATCATCCAGGAGTGCTTCAGTTGTCAAGAGTTTGAGAGGGGTCAGGGCTAAGAGAAGAGAAAGGTCAAGTGATTCTTACTGATTCTTACAGAAGAAAACTCAGGAATGTGTGATTTTAACATCCTTTATGAATAGAAAGATAAGACCACTCATGTATTGATCCATTTTTAGTAATCAGTAGAATACTCTGTTCACTATGCCTCACATCTCCATTTCTTCAAAACTTTTTATTTTTTTCATATTAGATTGGAGTGGCGCCATCTATCTTGGTCAATAGGTTTTCCCTAGCTTCCTTACAATACAAAATGTAAAAAGCACCAAAAATAAAAAAATAAAAAACAGTGACCTCAGGATAGGCTAGGTTATGTTTTCTGAATTATACTTTTATTCTATTATTTTTGGGGAAAAAGAAATTAGATTGTTGGGGGTGTGCGACTCAAGTGGTTGGTGATTTATACAGTAGCATAGTACTAGTCACTCTGTAGTATTATAGTACTAGTCATATGTATTAGATAAAAGAGGCATGGGATCAGCTTATGTATAGAACCAATCTAAGTAATTAGTGGAATACTATGCTCTCTCCTGTTAAATCTTTGTTTCCCTAACTCTCTCTCTCTTAACAATCTTGTTATCTTTAAACACTAGAAAACCATAGATCAAATATATGTTAAAAATATCAAATTAGATAAAATATAAACCATAAAACATACTAGCAATACATAATTTATTATTAGTTAAACTGCTTCTCCCATAACTTAGCAACAACCAATATAAGAAACATGAAATGGTAATAGAATAAAAGCTGATTCAGATAAAGGAATAAAACAGGAAAGAATACCTGTGTACGCAATTTAAATTCTGCAGCAAGATCTTCTAATGGAACACATTTGTGCTTCTGAATGATTTTTCAAACATTAAGTCTAAATTAGAATGGCTATAGAACCTCTTTAAAGGTGACAATCATAACCCTAGTGAACTGCAATTTATTTTTTATGCCTTAAAGAAATGAATAAATTTTGACAAATTTAGTAAGGGAAGATCAAGGAAATTGAGAATGTATAAATTAAAAAACAGAGAATAACCTTTATATAGTCAACAAAGTTGGCTAGCAAGTCTTCAGTACTATCCTGCACTTCCTCAAGGGTACCTTCATCATCAACTGAAAATTCACCTTTCCACTTCTCAAACTCTAATGCAGCAGCCTCCTCTTCCTTGGCTTTCTGAGCTCTGGCTTCCTCTTCCTATATGAACCATGACAAAGCATGTGCTTTGCCAGTTAATAAACCATAAGAAAGTCAAACCTAAAATCAAATCAGAACAAGGTAATGAATTCACCAGCATACGCTCCCGTGCCTCACGCTCCTCATCCTTCAACCTCCGTATTTCTGAATAACGATCTTGTTTAGCCTGCCTTGACTCTCGTGAAGCTTCCTCAGCCTTCCAAAAAAATAGACCAAAATACAACTAACAATTTAATCTTTAATCAGCATACATAGAGAAAGCCCCCAAAAAAGTTAAACATTAAGCACACAAATTCAAGAAATACATAACACACTGGAGGTGTGGGGAAGGGGAGTAGTCCTGAATTGCACCCATATGATCATATCTGAGTGAAAATTCTCTCCAGTATTCTTCTAAGTCCTTGTATCCAATACTCAATAGTTTAAATACAAGTTTGAGAATTAAATATAAACTAGAGGTAGTATCCATGCACACTGCTCAGGAGGTTAAAACAAAATGACAATGTTTTTTAAACATAATTACAGAAATTGCATTTTGTAGGAAACTTTCTCAGAAGAGGGTGATACATGTAGTACAACTGGACAGTTTGAATTAATAATAATAATAATAAGAAGAAGAAGAACAAGAAGAACAAGAAGAAGAAGATAGATTGAGTCCGTGTCCTTTTCTAAACCTCCTTCAAATACAACATCTTTCATTTCAAGAAACCAACCTTTTGATAAGTCAAATTCAAACAACACGGTCCTTTGGTTACTGGAAAATAGGTATAGAAGGCTACAAGCCAAAGTGCAAATAGCAAGAATCCAGCAAAATAATATACTCAAATAAAAATAATTGTACCAGTTTCTAAAACGTAATAAAGAAAGAATACCTGACGCCGTGCTTCCCTCTCTTGCTTTTTAATTTCCTTTTTCTTTGATGGTTTAGCCTCAGCAGCATCATCATCACTCTCACCAGCAGATTCTGTTTACATGCATACAGCTGATCACTTCAAAAAGGCAACCAAGTTTTTCAAGAACCAATCTGTACGCATGCTTCCAACGCAGAAGTGAACACATATCATACTTTCATTCACCAACCAATCCAACAGTACTTCCATATAACCAAAACAATAAGCCAAATAGTGGACCCCGCCACACATGCAAAAATCCCTAAATGTCACTCTAATCTAAAACTTAATAAAAAAGTAGCATTGACATATCTAACTCGATGGCCAACAAAAAGAAACTAAGACCACGTTTGGATAAACTTCTCATAAGTTACAATTAACTCATGTAAAAGTTAAAACTAGCTTTTAGAGAAGTTTAGACAGTTTCTATAAATTACCTTATTCATAACCTAATTTAACTTGAATGAGAAGTTTAATTCACTTAACCTTCTTATTGTATTTCCCTATAAGTGTTTATCCAGAAATTTATCGAAACAGAACTTAAACACACAAAGACCACCAAACATCCATGATTCCGCATTTCCAAGTGGAAAACAACACACATTAGCTCCAGTTACATCTCTGATTATTGCTTAATATTTTCATTCACAGAGGCATTATACAACACGCAAGAAACAAACCAAATTAAATTAAAAACAAATTAGTTATTAATTATACGAGAAACCTTCTTGTGCCGCTGGAGGATCCGACGAAGTGCTAGCTCCAGATGCAGCAGGTCGGCGACGCATGCGGCGAGTGGCGGTTGCGCGCGCCACGGTTTCTCTCCGCGGAGCCTGACGAATGGTTAACGATGGTTTAAGATTTCGGTTATGACACGAAAATCGAAGTGATTAGGGTTTTGGCGGCGAAATGAGGGAAGAGTGATGGAGTTGGAAGTTGCATACCTGGGGAGGTTCGTCGCGGTGAGAGGGAGATTGAGAATCGTGACGGCGTTTCCATAGATAGAGTGGGATCAACGACGCCACGAGAAGCATCGACAGTATCGCTACGAATAGCTCCTCCATTGCTGCGAATCGCGCTCTCTATGTTTTCCTTCTTTCTTCTCTCTGGTTTCGCACGAAATTGATTTCTCAACTGCGTTTGGGGCACTCAGATGAAACGACGCCGTTCTTTTCCCTTCTGTTCTCAGACCGATGACGTCATTTCTTTGCGTGCATACTCTACTTTTTTTCTGCTTTATGTTTACCACGTTTATCGGTTTTATGTCAAGGTCATATTACAGTTATTAAAAAATAAAATAAATTAATGAATAAATAACTTATTTTTACACTTCATTTTTCTTAATTCGAACGCTCCGCTGTCTCACATAACACTGGACGGGGCAAGGGGTGGGACAGGGGCGGGTTTTACGTTTACCGTTCATGTTTCTGTAAATTTAAATTGTCTTCGCTCCCGTTTTCTATACTCACCGAGGATAAAATTTAGGTTTTTATCCTCATCCCCAGCGAGGTTCGGGTTTTCCTGCCCTGTCCCGCCCTCGCTCATACATTTTTTTCCTTCTTTTCTTTTTAAATAAATATGAACAATTTTAAAAAAGTAAAAAAAAAAGTAAAATAATATAAATTTTTACATATAAATATTTTTAATTTCGGTTTATAGGCAGGGGCGAGGTGCGTATTAACATCTTCGTCCCCGCCCCCACCCCCGATTTTATCAATCGGGGAAAACCCGAACCCGAACCCAATAAATTAACACGGGTTTTCCCCGTCCAAATCAGGGCGGGTTCGGGTGGTTACCCACGGGGGCGGGTTAGTTTTAAAACTTTAAGTTCAAGTTTTTAGTTTAATAATGATAGTTAACTTTTAATATTATTTTTTATTATTTAAAGGTTTAAGGGAAAAAAAAGGTCTAAAAAATGTGGAGACAAAAAAGCAATCTCATATCCCATTTATATAGGTATAGATTTATAAGTTTTAATATTTGAGGGAAAGAAAGTGTGACTTTGATTAATGTGTTTTACTAAAGGTTAAATGTGAGTTTGGAAGTTTGTAAAAGGGTTAATGTTAGTTTTTACTTATATGTTTCTCATACACTTACGCGTTTTTCACTTACCAGAGATCGTTGAAGATCACTCTGGAGATTTACATCCTTCGTCTAATGTTCACTGAGTTAAGGGGGTGAGTAGTCTCACTTGGGGCATGGAGTATATGTTGGGTAGTTAGATTTTCCCCTTTTCTCATCTTTGTTGCATGTGTTGTGTGAAGGGAGAAATTCCAAATTTTGTGTTACCTTATGTTTTTGTCTTCCATGTAATTCTTTAGTGCTCTAATTGATATTGTTAACATGTATGTGCATTTTATTTTGTGTATCAAACTAATATTGTGAATTATGGATTGTTCGTTTCATGTAGGAATTTTAAGGAAGTGCATTTTGGTGTTTGTATAAGGAGTTGGTATGAGCATGTGAATATATGTATTTGATAGCTTAATAGAGCGATTTTAGACTTTTAATCTATGATTCTATATATTGATTTGATGGTCACTTTTGCCAAGGCTTTCAATGATAAGAAAGCAGAGGAAGAAAGAAAAAGATTAGTGTGAAACATTCCAGGCATCAGGCATGAAAAATCCCTAAAGTAAAGGACACTATCACAATGGCTCCAAATAATTGAAGTTCATATCTGTCGGAATTCATCATGGGTTTGATTGGCTAGTCATAACTATGACTAGTCAATCATGGATGTGACCGGCATCACAAGCGTGACTGATGAGTCATGATTGTGACACATCCTAACCTTGACCTTTTTTGGAATTCGTCAATCAGTCACGAGTGTAATTGACATGTCATGGGTATGATTAATGCCACAACTATGATCAATGAGTCATGGTTGTGACTCATTTGGTTGCTTTTATTTCACATTTTTTTCTTGTCTTTTCTTTCTCTCTTATCACTTTTATTGCTTAAGATGAATTATATTTATGAGTTTGGAATAACTTGATGATGGTTAGTTTAAGGATGCAATCTGAGTATTAGTCATGATAAAAAAGTAATTGAGTTAATGTTCAACAATTATAGTGGCGACAAATGTTCTTATAATGATCACAATTGACGTGCTCTAGTATAGTGTGGCTTAGGATCATGATTCATAATGTTAGTAAGGAATGGCTTTACCTCTTAGGTGTTTACAATTGTGAATAAGTTATGATGTTACTATACTAAGTAAGTTATTGATGTAAGTGTTTAGTTTGGTGATGATCTCTTAGTGACTAATGGAGATATTAACATATGATTAGATGATTTCATAATGATTTTGTATGGAGATGTATCAAAAGATGTTGTGTATTTCTTGTATTTGAATTGCGAACATGTGTAATTATTGTACTAATTAATGTTGATAACTAGTTAAGTTATTAATGTAAATGCTTAGTTTGATGATAATCTCTTAGTGATTAGTGGAGATATTAACATATGATTAGATGATTTCATAATAATTTTATCGTAAGGTGTATTGAAAGATGTTGTATAATTGTTGTGTTTGAACTACGAACATGTGTAATCATTGTACTAATTAATGTTAATAACTAGTTATGATATGTGAGTATGTTATTGATAGGATTGAGAACTATGTATGAATTGATTGATGTGTTCTGACATTGGTACAATTGATGGGTATGGATCTTGTAAAGGTCATATGATGAGAAGTCTAAGTGAGGCTTAGTCACAATGCGATTATGAATTGAAAGGAAATGATGTATAATTGTGAATGTGTATTGTGATGATATGATAATGCATTGAGTCCTATTTGGCATGCATCATATACATATTTGTTTTGGATGAATACGATATGGAATACGCCAACAAGGAATACCCCTTTTTATAAAAATGTGGGGATCAATTCTTGGGAACAACTAGGTTTAGAAAGCCTCAATCTCGCCTATTTGTGTGCATGGGATAAAACTTGGGCGACAGTTACCTTAATGAAACCATAATTGTATATCCTCCTAGTGTATAGTGCAATGAGGGTATGACTCCACATAATCTCCTATTTTACTCTATGTATTATCTCATGACAATACACCATGGTTTCATTTGGTTGGTGCCACATACATGAGCATTTTATTGTAGTCTGTGTCCATTGCATCGTGCAAGTGAATGAATCTGTGTTAAGTATGTGATATATATGAGGAAACATGTTGTATTATCAATTACATTGAATCTTGCCCTTTTATAATAAATTGTATTATTCCTATATAGTTGTTGCCATGATCTAATTGCTCATTATATAGTTACTTGTTTTTTATTATTTGACTATATTTACGCCATAAATTAAAGTGATATGTTTCTTACTCCTCGTTTCTTATGTTTGTTTCTTTTGGATGTTATTGCTGGTGAGATGCATCATGTTGATGATGATGTTAGTGATGAGGCCTAATTTTCTCTTTTGGGTTTTGTTTTCATAGGATATGGACATTGAGACTAAGTTAGGATTTGATTTTTTTTTATGTTTTTATAGGACCATTGTTATTTCTATTGTATTAGGCTTCAATTAACTTTTGTTTAGTTAAAATGTGATACTCTCTTGTTGGATGAATCAATTTTCTCTAATGATAGATTTCTTTTGATTCAAATTTTATTTATTGTACTAATTATAAAATGTAGGATAAAAAATATCACATTCTAATATTTTATCTTACACTAATCTAGTTTGTCCGAGAGGTGACTATAACTTAACAAAGAATTGTTTTTGACAAATATCAATTTCAGATACTACCAAACAATTCAACATATTAATTACTTGTTCCAACTCTTTAATTTTTTTCACTTTCATCTTACTATACAAATCATTATGCTAGTAAATTTATTGTTTCGATAACGTTATTCCGGTCTCATTTTATTCTATTCTTAAGATTTTGACATACGAATTAAAAATCTAATTAATATTTTAGATTTTAACTAAAAAAGTATCTCGTGTCTTGCATATGTTTATGTACGTAGAAATTTTAAATTTTTTTATGTCTCGGCCCCTTTAAATCAAACTTAAAGCTTTTAAATAAAAGTTAAAAGTTTCTACATGCAAGATAGTATATATTAATTATTGGGAAAAACTCAAGTCTCACATCGACTAGAGCAGATTAGGCAATTGAATAGTATATAAGTGGAAAGCAACCATCACCTTATAAGCCGGTTTTGTAGGGTTAAGTTAGGCTTAATCCGCTATTCTAAGATGGCATCAGAGCCATTTAGATCCACTTTAAATGGGTTACCCCCCATTGATGCATGCACCATAAGCATGAGGGGGTGTATTGAGTAGTATATATATTAATGATGGAAGAGCATGGACCAAGGGTCCAACCACTAGAACTATGGCCAAGAGATTACTTGAAGACTTGACTCCTTTAGAGCTCAGTGGGCCCAATGGGCTTGGTGGGCCTAGGGTGCTCCTCACTTGGGCTTTACTTGTTTGACACCATGTTTTATTGCATATTCATAGAATTGGGATTTACTTTGTTTTGGTCTTGTATTTTGAACATAGATTTGGGATTGTGCCCTTTGGGCTTATAATTAGGCTTCAGTGTCCTTTTGGCTTTTGACACCTAATGAATATTGGGCTCATTTTCTTTCTTTGAATTTTTCCTATTCATTGTATTTCCTTGACCATTGTATTTAGGTCATTAGTTTAGGATTTAAGGAAGAATACTTAATTAAGAGAATTAGGAAAAACTAGGTTTAATTTAGCTTGTATTTAAGTTGCATTTTGAGTCACATGGTTGACGCCACCTTGGCTGAACATGTGTGACTCAAATTCAACCCTAAATGCAACTTAAATCAAACTTAGATGAACACTTAGCACATGGGAACCGGTGATGCACATGTGGGTTAAGATTTGAATTCAAAATTCAAATTTGAATTCAAATCTTGGCGCCACATGTGAAGCCTCCACATTGGCGCCAAGTGTCCCTAATTCCGAAATTATAAATGCTTCCTTCCAACACCTTGTATTCACTTTTGCATATATGAAATTTCTGAACATTCTTCAGCCAAATTTCTACAAGAGTCACCGTGAGAGAATTGCCTTCAAAACCCTAGAAAACTCCCATAGTTCCTACCTTTTGAAGTGAGCAATCCTTTGAGCCTTTAAGCTAGGATACTTCCTTCTCTAGCCTAGGCTTTCTTGCTACGTGTTCTGCAATCAAACAAGCTCAATCCATTCAGTTAAAGTCTCCAAGAAGAGGATCCTACACTTGGTGAAGTCAAGGAGTGGTTCATCTTTCACTTCTCCTAGCTTTGCCATCAAAAACCCAAGTCCTGTCAATTCTAGATCATTAAAAAGAGTCATCCACCATTTATCCACGTACCAAGCCCAATAATACTGGACGTGAGGAAGTGTATTGGGAAAAATCCAAGTCTTACATTAACTAGAGATTAGGCAATTGAATAGTATATAAGTGAAAAGCAACCCTCACCTTATAAGCCAGTTTTGTAAGGTTGAGTTAGGTTTAATCCGATTAATTATTTGAAGTAAAAAGATCTCGGCAAAGAATAATTTTTATGAAGAATATTTGGCACCGCTTCTCCTTTTAAGCAGAAGAAAAGTAAAAATTAAATTGGGCCAAAAATAAGTCCACAATTTAGTGCTTAAAGATTATTTAACCAAGAATTTCAATATGTCTCAAAACTAGTCACTCATAATTAAATCAAAAGTAGATTTGGGATACTATAATATTTACTCTCGATCGTAGTAAGAATTAAACATACGCATTTACGGTTGAAATTTGGGATACTATACTATTTACTCTCGATCGTAGTAAGAATTAAACATACGCATTTACGGTTTCACATTTCAATCAATCTCTATACACAATCTTTAAGACTGAAACAAAGAAAGACAAAGTATTAGCCCATACAATGGTCCATTAACCTAGAAGAGTCTTGTGACCCTCGATCCTATTAATTCCTATCTATTAGTCTTACTTGAGAAAGAGAAAAAAGAAAAAAAAAAAAAAAAAGTTTCACAACATGTGTGAATAATGAGTAATCTTATTTTTCGAACCATACAGATGATGTTGCAAACTTGCAATGCAGTTTACATAGAATATTACTCCCCATGAGAAACGCGGGGTAATATATTATAAATGCATGAAAACGTTACGTGGAAGCAGCGTGAGAAAGAATGAAGCAAATGCAGACACCCAAACAGCGCACACACCCACTTCCCTTACACGTACACCTCATTACATGCAACCAAACACAATAAAAATGAGAGTGCACTCTCTACTCTCTCTTCACTCTTCACTCTTCACTCTCCACTCTTCACCAAAATGACGAAGCTCACCGTTCTCATTGTTTTCGCCGTTCTCTTCGTCGCCCACACTTGCTCCGCCGCCTCCAAGCAGCAGGAGCAAGAGAGCTGCAGCGAGCAGCTGGAGAGCGTGAACCTCAGGCCATGCGCGAAGCACGTGATGGAGAAGATCCAACGCGACGACGACGACGACGACGACGACGTTCTGGCGATGCGAGGGAGAGTGAACTACATAAGGAAGGGGAAGCGGCAGGTACTGGAGAAGTGCTGCGAGGAAATGAGCGAGTTGCAGAGCGCCAAGTGCCAGTGCCGAGCGTTGCAGAAGATCATGGAGGAGCAGAGCCAGAATCTGGACAAGACTCAGGAGGAGGAGATGGAGAAGGAGCTCATGTACTTGGCCATGAGGTGCGGCTTTGGACCCATGCTAGGTTGCGACTTGCGCTCTCACCACAACTGAAAATAGTTAACAAATAACAATGTAGTGACGTCATGGCTTGTGCATGCATGCATGCTGCTATATATATGTATGTGTATGATATGCAACAAGCTCTTATGTAGAACTCTGCGTACGTACTTCGTCTTAATAAAGATGATCACCGCTAGTGATCGTGTATCTAATGGAAAGCACTTAAGCTGCTTTTTATGCCATTCACTTGCCTCTCTTTTCGTGACAATGCTCAAATCTTTCCCTTCATTTCCCAATATCTCGTTAATTTGCTGCTTTTCGTGAAGATTTTGGTTCATCTACGAAAATATGGTTCCATTGATTCCGTGGAATTAGCAGGGGGCTACTAAATTACGAACACACATGTTACTGTATATTAATTCTTGTTGATGCATGAGTTAGACTTTAGAAGTAGAGTTTTTTTTTTTTTTTTTTTACAATTAGTTCATATAATATGTTTACAGCGATAAAAATATAGAGAAATGGGAAGAGTGTACCAAAAAAATAAAAGATAATAAGATGATTAATATATAAAGATATATATATTATGTAAATAATATTACTGATAATAATAATAACCACCACCAGAGAACTACTCAATTACAGTATTCAATGAGATGATATATAATGTGCAACTATATTTTAAGCTACTTCTATAAGAACAGGTCTTGTTAATTTTTTGTAAATTAATTAGTTCAAAGAACAGGCCTCTACTTAATTACTTCTAAGAAAGGCAAAAATAATTCGTAACCCTAAATATTTGCAGGTAAGTTAAATTTGTTGCGGATATTAAAAATTGAGATAGCTTATATATATATATAGGGCATGTTATGTGGGTAATGTATATATATATATATATATG